TACATTAAGGCGAAGAAACGAATTAACCCAAAGGAATTTACTTTGTCAATTAATTCTATGATTTATAAAATATATCACATCATAAATCAGTATAATGAACAACAGTCATTGTTTAATAATAACTGCTTGAATTTTTTTAATTACTTGATCATTATTCAGTAGCTCTAAAAAAAAAACATAAGATTGTGTAGGCAAAGATGGATACTGGCTAGCAGTGGAATCCAGGACGCGCGTTTCGTCCTATCTGGAACTCGAAACGCGCGTCCTGGATTCCACTGATAACCACTATCCATCTTTGCTTATAATGCTTGTGAATTAAGGCTATATCGAGGCAATGCACACAGCATGCACATATGCCAATTACAGACTGACCAATTGCAGTCCTAAACATCAATGGGAAGATTCAAACCAGTAATACTAAGTGAATAAGATTGTTTAGTTTGAGGTGGTAAGGTTCAAGATAAAAACAGAGAATTGTATCAAGTCATTTCTATTTCTCACTGATAAAACCTGGCTTTTATTGTTGAAGTAGAATTTTATTGCTTATTTCACTGTTTATTAGTCTATATTATGTGATGTGAATCAAGGAACGTATTTTTCACTTACTGAGAAACACCAGATATGAGTAAACTCGTAAATTTACTTTCCACATATAAGAATGTAATTTATAAATTATTAATAGGATCCAAAGCAGTAGATCATGAAAAATATGCAAGGAACTTAAACATTGCACAAGTGAAAATTATAGTCAGCCACTGCTTTGAACTAATTGATAAACATCCATTCCAAAATTAATCATTTTGTATTATCATCACACATGCCCAATAACTATTTCTTTGAGAAGTTAAGCAATGGTTACGTAATTGTATAGCTGGGAATTTTTTGAACATTTTTTATAGATGTTGAGAGAATGTGCTTAAATCGGGATTTATTTAGTAATAAATGTCTTAAATGTCCTCCCTTCTCCTACAGTGTTGAACTGGAAGATATCAGGTTGCCAATTTTTACATGTGTAATAATATAAATATGAATAGAAGGTAGTTTCTCGACCTAGTAGAAATGGATTTTAAAACTGTTCCAAATGTGCTTGTTTATTTCAGGAGCTTGTATTATTTACCATTGTCGACTCGATCAAAGAAATGACTATTTACTATTAATGGTAACACAGGGTAAACAGAAGAATTAAATATCCTATTCTAGTATGATCAATAAGTAAAAAAAATGTCATTGGGTATTATTTTTCACTGTAGTATCATATAGGTACTAATACCAAGTTTATAAACAGTGTATTGTGCTTGATTATCTCTTCTGAAATCCGAGTATTCATAACGTTCTTCTCATAATAAGTCGTGCGTATTCGACTCTACTGTCAAACACTGTTAAATACTGTTGTACGTAAAGACGGCTTTATGAGAGATTCACTCGATAGATTATTAGCAGATTCGATTGCTTCGTACCTTAAAATGAATGATAATGATTTTATTTGAAAATGAACAACTCTCGACCACAAACAATACGTAATTCAGTTGTCTGCTAAAATTCTAATTTCTTTATCTTAAACAATAGGTTCAGGTAAATAAGGCGTATGAATTTTATCGTTATGTAAGAATGTTAATTCCAGTATTCCAGTGGATAATACATTAGTGTTTGAAACAAATAGTGCCTGGCCAAAGACATATTATCTACATCAACATTGGAATGGAGACCATAAGCTTGACTTCACCTAAACAGAAGTACGTAGAGGTAAAGTCATGTACCCGCTAAGCCACTCCTTTACCTGTTGTTCTATAAAAGGTGAAAATGAGATAATTCTACATAACCATTTCTCTGCATTAGTTATTAGGTAAAAGTACTAACGTTATTAAAAACACGATAGTAACCAAGCACTCACTTTAACTTTATTTATGGAATTATTCTTAGAAAATAAGTAACTTTAAATCCTTCAGCCATTTTTCTTTTAAAAATGTTTAGGTAAAAAAGGATAAAAAAAGTTAGTGAATTATTATTCAGGTGGATGAAATAGAGTTTTGAACTAATGGACTTGTATTTAAAAATTCTATTCCGATTATTTGATTTGAAGACACTCCAAATTATGGACTGACTTTAACTTTGAAGCTACTGAAAACGACAGATAACTGGACAATTGATTAATCGTTCTGTGGGACTTCAAATTTACGTACAACCATAACCTCTTCAGAGATCACACTTTATTAGCATCTAATAATTCAGATTTAGTTTCGGTACTGTAAGACCGTTATCCGTATCCGCCGGTACTAACTGTCTCACTCCGTTATGGCTGTTTAGTGCTCTCGAGTTTACAATATTGGTCTAGCTAAAATTATTAATTGATAAAGGCTTTATTCAGACTGAATAGTCTCTACACATCATCGAAGCTGATAACGGTCATAAGGCAATCAAGTTGGTTTAGTTCATATGTTCCTTTTGTCAACTTAAGTTTCTCAAATGTGTTCGTTACAATGCGTAATGAAACTATCTTGAATATTCAAAACCGTCACCCAGAGCAGTTACTAAAAGCTTGCTACGACTTTGATTCCTAACGTCTTCATACTGCGAACAGTTTATTCGTTATTGACTAACAATCCATTTCTTTATTTCGATAATTATGCTTATAAACTTACCTTGTATGTAACTGAACAGAGAGCAACAAAATACAACGAATTCATCGCACTCTTTAACAAGATTGTTCTTGATCAGTTTAAATTTATAAAGGAAACCAATTGTATAGAATGCTTTATTAATCCTATTAACTTTAGATCCTCTATTCAATATTTATATTTCAAATTCGACATAAAATTAGTGCATCCTATAATCTTCTCAATCAACACATACTGGTGTGATTTTCAACCAGTTCATTTAAACTTAATCAAAACATGTATTTTAAAAGTATCCATGAGTGTTTAACTACAGACTTTTTCTTACATTGTTTATCTTTAAAAAAAAGCATAAAATCTGATCGTTTTGGTGAAATCTAAATGACTTTTACCTTTTGTCGCAAATCAACAGACACTTACACTTTGTTTACATCTCTCTCATCCTCTGTCCCAAATTTAACTTACGTCTCGGTTTTGTCACATCACACCAACATTCATGAAAAAAAAGAAGAATTACTCTAAAAAGTTAGTAAAAAAATTATTTGTGCATAATGTACAGACACCCTAATTTGTTAAAGAAAAGTATACATTTTTATATTATCAGGAAAAAAAATTATTTCCTCAATCAACTGTTGAAAAAATATTAGGTGAAATCTTGGTCTTGTTTAAATCACATTGCCCCTTTCAAAATTGTAGTTGTGTATTTTTTTTCTTCTTTATTTACACAAAAAAAGCTGTGATGTATTTATGATCAATGTCGGACGGTCGTCTAAATGTGTACCTAAACTCTTTTTCACTAGTTTAAATTACGTATACATATAAGTGTATATGTTATATTGAAAATTGACCAAGTCATAAACAGATTGAATGATAAATGGGAAACATTAAAGTTGGTTTATCTATGTTTGTGCATATGTGTCTTTGTGTAAAAGACTCGTCGTTTTTAAGTGTGTCAGTTTCATAAAATTTAGGAAAAATCAGTGAAAATAAGTATAGTTATTCTTTAAAATTTTACTGTTTTATGTATATATTTAAATAGATAGCAAAGTATTTGAATCCATTTCATTGTACACTTCCTTAAAGTATTTTAAATTAGATCATGACTCATTGTAAAATACTGATACAGGAAACAGACAGTTACTAGTACTACCGCTTTTTTGGAATTAAAACACTAACTTAGATTTGACTAACAAATTAATTTATCATTATTAATAGTAATCATAGTAAGAGGTAACGTAGTCATCATAACATAATCAAAATGACTGGACGACACATATATTTTCATGTTAAAATCTCCGTAAAACATTTGAATTTAATCAAATAATAATTTTGGTAAAACTAATAGTAGGATTCAGAATGAAATATCAAGTTCAAGCTAAAGAAAATGTTTTTTCCTATGAAGCCTGGATATTGTCATTATTATTCTGCGTGAATAAGATGAAAGGAATCTTTTTATACAAAGTCCCATAATAGAACGAAATATGCCCTCAGTGCTTCATGATTTTTAATGATCCTCCAGCTAATTTCAATCTTTGACATAATTTACCACCTTTACCACAATTAATTGTCCACAAATGAATTATGCATGAAATATATTTTTACTGGTCCACGGTAATGATAGTCCGATTTCCAAAAACGTTGGACATTACCAAGACTAGGACTTGTAGCATTTGAGTATTGTTATACTATTATTCGGATGAAAAGTAAGCATACAAATACATTTAATCACACTTGTTACTTATTCAGTTCTATTTATTGTAATTTAAGTTGAGAGTGATATTTTTTTATTTATCAAGTATCAGTTAATACAAAGGGAAGTTTAAGAACAAACAATAGGTAGATAGGAAGTTTGTTTAGTAGGTAAAAAAAGCAAGTAACAAATAATATAATCTCATATTACGCATCTGAAAAAAGATCCCTACATTTCATATATTCACATAACGGGAATATATATATCATCAAAAAAAGCCGCTTTTCTTTAGTTCTTTGATAACTGAACATGAAATCCTATTATTCTCCAACTTCTGTTTACATTTGTTAATAATTTCTGTACCGTATTTCTAAAACTATATGTCTCTAAATTACCCATCACTTTTGATTATTGGTTTGGATTGATAACCATTGTATCTAATTTGAACTTACTTCTCTTTAATTATTCATCGACATATCTGTGTTGTGATCAGTTATTAGTAGTATATGAAGATAAAGGTTTACTCCTCGAGGCAGTTTCAGAAACGGACATTTTCTTACGATCATACCATAATTATTATCCTCTTTTATAATCAAATTTATTTTACAATTTTGATATCGCCAAACTCTCATTCATCCGCTTTCAATAATTATAGGTGTACAGAATTGACTGATCTGGGAATAAGCCATCTAGCAACAATGTCTAATCTTCAACATCTCAGTGTAAGATGGTGTATCAATTTATCAGATGGTAGTATACCTCATTTACTTAGTACGACAGGATTAAATTATCTATGCTTAAGTGGTAAGTTAAACATACATATTTGCTTAGCAATGATATGGTTTTTATCAAACATGCACTTTCAAAACAATGAGAGTAAGTGGACGAATTCATAGGAATTATAATTTACTGTACTTTATTCAACTGAAGTTGAAGAAATAAAAGCTCATCAAAGTAATCCGAATGCTGTATATTGAAATCGGAAACGAATAATCAGAAATAAATCTTTTAATTTTAATGTTAAATGGGAATTATATGCCAATTGAAGAAATAAATCTGTAGCCTTTTACGTTCAGATTAGCCAATACAATTTATGGGTCTACAAGTTCAGTTCATATTTACACCATCTCGAATTGGAATTAATTCAATATTTTAAAATCGCCCGTTCATAATTTTGAAATCGAATGTCCTTCATTAGTAAGATATATTTTCATTTCTGGATGAACCAGTAATAACAATTCTAAACTAAGTTATTTTGAGCATTTTTAACTTTAGTCTAACAATTCCAGAATATTCTCCAATTTAGGCTAACACTACACAGTTACATGTACAATTTACCAGTTTATTTCGTTTTGCAATTCAAGCCAATCAATTCTATCTATTACTGAGAGCTTTGAAAATGAATTAATGTTTCGTTCAAACGCAAGAAATGATTTAAAGACAACTACGATCAGTTTCGAGTATTCAAATATTATTCGACTTCAAATAAGACATGTTAGTCATACGGTAGAACAAGAGTAACGTTTTTCACAATTACCTTGCCCACAGATAAGTGGAGTAACTAAGGCAGTCAATTACTTCATTTTATCAGTGGAAAACGGTCCCGAAGAGTCGAACTGCACCTTAAAGAAAAAACTGGGATTCGGTCTTCATAAAGATCCTACAGCCTATCTAGCAGACTGTTGTTATATTACTGTAAATCGATTAAATGAAAAGCAGAAATACTCATAACACCTATCTATAAAGGACAGAAAGAAAACAACTTTAACAGATGATACTGGCTACTTTCAGCTCGAATAACGAATAATCATGAGCTTGATGAAAAAGCCTTTCGTCCAAGAATATATCACAACAAAATTACATGGCTTTTCTGCAAACACCGAAGGTTGTTTGTAAGATCCCAGTATCCAAAATCTGCCACTTTAATTTTAGGTCATTTACAACTAATATAAAAGATAAATAAATAAGTCTGCGAATCAGTGCAACTTTCTGATCACATTTTTTGTTCTATCTGTGCAATAACACTTGTTTCTGAACCAAGTTGTGTACACTATAGTGATTACTATGATTACTCAGACAGAGATCAAGAAATACACTGCTTCTAAGATCACTATGTTGATGGTTTTGAACGAAGGTTTATAGGACGCTGGTTCAATCACCAAATATACGATTTTCATAAAGCTCTTATATGACTCATGAAGATCAGTGCCCAGAAGCATGATATTTTGAAGATTGGTTTTGACGACTTTTTATTGATCGATTTTCTAATCTGAAGTTCAAAAAGCTAAATTATTTCGCTGTTATGTGATAACCATTAGTAAACTGCTTCCATGGAATCTTGTAGAACCTGCTCTGAGAGTTGACTGATAGTTGGTATGAAACTCGAGTGCATTGAATTAAGAAACAAAATCTTATCACTACTGTATTTTGAACAAGATCAATAACACTGAATAATGAACTAGAAAATCCATTTGTCACTCAGTTACTCACAGTCATATAATATATTTCATACAATTTTACTTTCATACGTTCTTAATTCTATTTAAAAAGGTTGTAAAAGGATAAGTGAAGATGGTCTATGTACATTAGCTCGTCATCCACGTTTGAATTATCTGGAATTGGCTCATTTACCAGCAGCTACACAACCAGTGAAGTTATATTTGAACAAAAATTTACCATGTTGTAAATTATTATGCTAGTAATATAAAATATGTACATATCCATATACATACATACTTATATACATAAACTTGTCATTTTACATTCTACGTCATATGGTACATACATCATAAGACAATTATGCGTAATGAATACATTATTATACAAGTGTTTTTTTCTATCCCCTTCCATTTTGTTCACACAAAGCACCTTTTATAACAATTGAAATCAAACAAAATCACCTCTTGTCAACTTCTTCTGTGATACAATATATAAATGAATAAACAACGCTTTTATTTTCACAAATTTATATTTTTTGTGTTATATTTTCTGTTTACTCAATATTCATATACATATATAATCTTGTTTATCATGACGTTTTCACTTTTTTTTAAAAAAAGAAAAGAATAAGGGTACATACGTCTTTTTCTCTCTTTGAATTTACCGTCACCCCCATCATTAAAAACAAAAAATAACCCAAGTAGTAATCGAGTTTAAGATTTTGAAATACATACATTATAAACAATAATATCATATCAAAGGAGTTTTCTTTTAGGTTAACTGACCCACCAACAAGTTACACCCAGTCCATCAGCTACAACTGAACCCTAAGATCAGAAATAAAAAATGGATGGAAAAAGAAAGTAGTAACAGTCTTCTCTTTACATAAAAGATTAAAGTAGACTACTTAGTGGTTAAAAAGAAATTCGGACAAATTATAATCATAGTAAGAAGAATAAAAGTAATAATCATGTAACTCAGTAGCCGATTACAAATTTGTATAATGAGTTTTAACCCCTATTTATAGTGTGGAATTCGTTAAAATAATATGCCTAGCCGAACATCAAAGTAGATGAAGTAGTGTTTGAACCTGCGAAATTCAAGTGCTATAACCATTAAACTATCGCTTACAATTCCCAAAATAACTGTTAATTATTGTAATAACGTATATTTACTTTGAATGGATTTATCAACAGCTCCGACAATGACTAACTTTTTGATTGAACCAAGATCAGTAATATTTATCACCAAACCTCATCGTTTTCTTACTCCATATTATAATTGTGTTTTACAAATTAAATTACGTTTGAATTTGAAACCGAATAAATCGAAATGGTATAAACAAGTTTAATCAAGTCTTCATCAAGCTATTTATGAATCCTAGGATGAATTTTATAATCATTAGTGTCGAAAACGGAAAAACAGAACGACCGAATTACAATTTTTGTTTTAATGGTTTCTGCTTAGAGCATACGGCTATAAAACATCTATTGATAAACAGACAAACCGATTTATATAAGACGACTAAACAGGATTAAACGAACCCCTAACAAAAAACAATATTCACTATTTAAAGTACACTTATGAAAATATCTTCATATGGAATTCCCGTTTTATTTTCAAGTGTCTAAACCTTAAATACCAAAAAAATCTGAGGCTTGTCATGACTAATATGATGCTAATTCCACGAATCAAAATATTACCACACACCATACGAAAAAGATGCTTAAAGTAATAAAAATCAGAGTTTTTATATGATCGTAGGTTAATCAACATTAATAAATTTATGAAAACAAAAGTGATATTCATTCAAAAGATAAAAACAACTACCATGCAGTATAACTTGGCCCTACAATTCCATGATAAAATAGTTTTTCATGAACCCCCAAATACCACTGTATGTCTATTTCGACAATTATATACATCTTGAAGCCAGTCACTAGTGAGCATATGCTGATTAATATCAGAAGAGGTTTATGTGGATATTAAAGTAATTTTATTAGTTAAGTGCAACCAGGTGTGTTGTGAGATAGTAACTCACTGAAGACATTGGTGAATGTGTCTCTCGATTTCGTGGATCGGTTGAAGTTAGACATTAACACCGTTGGATGCCGGTTAGCTCAGTGGTCTAGAGATTGAGCGCTCGCGCGCGAAACTGATAGGTCTTGGGTTCGAATCTCGTAAGGCGGGATCGTGGATGCGCACTTTTGAGGAGTCCCGATTGGACGAAACGTCTGTTCAGTGCTTCCAGGTTTTGCATGGTGGTCCAGCTTAAATCGACTCATGATCTCAACTATTAAAATTGCTATAATATCCGCAAAAACCCCTTCTGATATTAATTAAATACATGTGAAATCCAAGTTTCTGGGAGAAAACTATAATTTTTGAAATTTTAAGTAAAGGAACCTTATCATAATTACTTCGATTAAATCCCTAAACAGTTATTTTTTACCATGAAACTATCAACTTGCCACTTCGATAGTAAAATGATATTCTCCTATTCTAATAATATAGCGTTTTTTGTTTTTTATGGTTGGTAAATAAACTATAAACATTTATTAAAATTTAAAAATAAGAGAGGGAGAGTAGTTCCGTAAAGAGATCCGCTATCAGAGGTATTATTTCATGTTTGCATGAATTTTCGCTAATATTTAGCTTTCTGATTTACTGTATCAAGTTAAGCAACGCATTTCCAAAATTCCGTTTAATTTTTCAGTTCCTATAACAATTCTGTTTTCTTAAATTTCTAATTTTATAAGAGAACACCTTTTTATGTATTTCTTCCTGCAATTCTTTCCCTACGTATATCATAGATTGGCGATATAAAAAAGTGGTTGTATAGCATAGATAATGCAACGGCTAAAAGAGGACCCCTCCGTTGAACTGCTATTTACAGCATCGATTCTTCTGATCCGCAAATCCTCCAAATCCATATTATATTCGAGTAATTGCCCTTTTTTCTATATATCAATGTCATATAAATGAATTACTTCTTAACAAGCTGATAAACTTTGTCCTTTCATTGTATTATTGGCTTTATACAACAGTTTCCAAGTAGTTTCTTATCTATCAAAATATATATTACTGATATATAAATAAGTAGCAAAACAGAAAATAGCTAATATTATCGAGTATACACCAGGAAGAAGAAAAAATCCATAAAATCACGAAAACTATATCAAGGTTCTAACTATTTGGAAAAGATAATATGAACAGAAGAAGCAAACTAAAATACTCTGCACACTGTGATGAACTGAAATTTAATTAAACTTTAATATTAAATCAACTCAAAATGTAACGTAGTTTATAAAATCACAATGTTGGTTTCTTTCCAATGAAATGTTAGTTATGAAACATTCTCAGGATACTTATATAGATTAGCAGAAATTATAGTATAAAGCTTTATATGATTTGTTTGTATCAATTCACATGCAGAATAAAGGCTTTTGTGGCATTATTCATGATAAAGATATACCAGAGGGGATGAAACAAAGAAATCATATAATCGATTTTCTTCAAACCATGAAAGCAATAAAGTCAGAAACTTGAGTGTTTCTTCCCAACCGATGGATTCAATATGGGTTTAAATAAGAACAGCTAAGATTATGTTTACAGCGGCAAGCATAATGACTGATAACCCCAAAAATTAAGAAACTAAGTACAATTTCACAACCAGAAAACAATGATTGGAGATTAGGGGATTTGTTGAACTAAGAAAACATTTATGACATCTATTTAGGACTTTGTGAGATTTCCTTGTAAGCTAACTTGGCACATGAAAACAAGTAAGTGAGTGGTCTTCAGTAAAAATAATAATCGTACTGTTAGATCCCGAAAAGAATTATGAATGGTAACTTTTGAGAACTATTTATGGACCAATACTATGTGTATATTTTTATTGTATAGTTGTTAACTAACTATTCATATTCGTATCCCACTTATTGTAAGCTTTATTTTCACCCATAGACCATAACTATATGATTTACCGTTCTCGAGTTATCCTCAGTCTATTAATTACTGTTCGCCTTATTCACAGCCACATTTGGCTAAATCTTGTACAAATGTTACTTTTTATTTTATTGGTACGATGTGATTAGTCTGTTTGGTATACAAACTCAGTATGTTTGAAATACAGGGATTCATACCGCAGAGGCTGTTATTGGTGTTTTGGACTTAACTGGCTGGACTAAGCAGACGGCAGGACCGATACGTACTCTAGACTGCTCGTACGGGTTTTATGTGTCACTGGTCCAATCGATAATTCACTGCTCTGTAATAGGCAAGTACTACGGCAATTTCATGAGCATTTAGCAAGACATCGCCTTTTGTAAACTAAACAATTCACTGTTTGCACGTTCTTTTTCGGGGATAATAGGATTTGAACCAACTATAAGTTGCAGAAGCATACAACTGATGACTAACTCACGTCCTAACGCTTCATCAAAATTTTATTAATTCGAAAGAATTATAAGAATATCTCCTGAAGAATTCTCAGTCATCGTAAAAAAAATATGTTCGTTTTTACTCTCAGGATGACTAAAACAACAAAATATATCCCCTTTCTAGTGGTGTATTTCTTCAAACCACTTAAGAGAATTGATTCCATTCCATACAATGAAAATGAAAGACCACTGATATGTAGTCAAAAGTCGTTATATTATGCTTTGACATATGGAATAATCCATAATTGTTATTTTTAAACTACTGAGGTTGAAATCAAGATGTATCGATGGTGAAAAGTCTTTAAACAATGCCAGTAATATTGTGTTACACCAAATTAATCAGTAACTAATTTTTTTACGATTTCAGTTCAATTTTAGGTGGAGTTTTGATCTCTGAGCTAGATGGATTGATCGTGGAGATTCCATTATCTATGCCCCCGAATGCCATATGGCCGAGGGTGGGAAGGGTCAGCTCTCTCGAAATGCTCTCATATGGCCACGCGTGTACAGCCATTGCCAGGAAAGTTCTACTCACTGCCTTCTCGTGGCTGAGGTGTTGTTCACAAAGTTGAGAAGACGAAAAGTGAACGTTCGGCGCTTTAACTGGGTTGGTGGACACGTAGGGTCCACCTAGGGGAGTTGGAAGACCCTGATACCAAACCAATGGTGCACATGGGCTCCAGGATCCTCAAGGAACAAATGGCGTATGAATCGATTATCGGTCACCAGCTACCATGGGACTGTATCTCCTAACGTTTCTCCACTGCCTTGTGGATCAGACTTTTAGGTCAAAGGCTCCGGGTGTGGCCCCCTAAGAA